AAGATATGGCTCTTTGGAAATAATGAAAACTATGCTATGAATCAGTTTCAAACTCTTAGCTGCAGACTACCTATAAAGTGCAATGAATGCAGCAATGAACCCCATGCATAAAATGGGCCACAAGCCTCGAGGAAGAATTTTCCTCTAAAAGTGCAGTGGCATGTGGTACCAACTCACAATAAAGAACTGGAGGGTATCTACTGCAACCACAAGGTGGCACAGAGATAAGCCTCAAGCCTAGTCCATTTCCACAAGATTTAGGGTGGACAAGAAGTGAAACCCAATCTACATGCATATGCTGAGCTATTTGCTCAGGCATCCCTTGGTAGCAAGACCACCAGCTCTTTTTGCTCACAGGAGCACGGTTATAGAGCATTTGTTACAAGACAGTTCCAATGTTCTTCCCAGGATACTACACTTGACCCTAGCAATCTCGGTGGCCTGTCTGACAAAAATGATTTTTAAATGCAAAGACAAACAGATCAAGATCTTAATACACAGCAGACTTGTACATAACCTGGTAGGTTTTTGACCTTTCAATGCCTTTATGGAAACATCCTCGTGTAGGTTAAAGCTATTTGGACTTCTCAGATTTTTGGTTAACACTGTGAACTGCTATAGAAGTGACACCACTTGATGCACACCACCATTTAAACAGCTCAATATACAGATAAAACACATGTGAACCAAAGTAATCTTTAACTTTATCCAGCTAACCTCTCTATATAGCCAGAGAGCGACAACACTAATCTAATACTGCCGCTCTGCAGTTTTATGTGCCAACTACCCAGCTCAAGTCTTACCAATGGACTAGGAAAAAAACATCTTCACATTGGTCAACTCCCCCTAATGTAAGCAGCCCAAATATGTAGTCTATATGTTGATAACTACTATAAACACCCGACGCTTTAAGAAGATTATAGGAAGCTCATACAAGAGCTGTTGTCATTGCATTTCAAAAGTCCATTTATTTAGGAATCAAAGCTTCAATTGACTTGATTGCGTTTCGTCCAGGAGTTTCTAAGGCTGGGTTCACATCTAGGCGTATCGAATATGCGCGTTTGTACTGCGATTCGCGGTAAAAAAAACGCACAACACGCGTTTCCGAGGGCTACCTGGCTGCATCCCAATGGATACGCGCGACAAAGACGCCCCCAAAGAAGCTCCTGTACTTCTTTGGGCGTAGGGCGTTTTGTAGCGCGTTCATACGGCCTGTAATACCCCCAGGTGTGAGCCATACCCATAGGAAGTAATGGGATTTCGGTGTTTGAGCGTTTTGCAGAGCGTAGGAACGCGCTACAAAACGCCCAGGTGTGAACCGGGCCTAAGAGGTTCACTTCAAACATTGTGTAGAAAGATGACCTCTTTGTCTTCTGGCTAAAGACAGGGCTGAATGGATGATAAAAAAATGTAGCTGATGAGCTGACGTTCTTCTGAAAATGCTACCCAATAAATAATTAAAAATATACAGCATGCCAGGACAGATACTTATTTAATACCGTTATACATGGAGCCTATGAATTAAGACATAGCCAGGCAACTGGCATTTTTAAAGTGCCGATATATATTTTTTTTCGACACGGAGTTGTAGGCAGGACTCATTTACTCAAGAGAACAAAACCATTGTATCCTGGACTGTGGCAATGTTCTTCAAAAACACATTTCATCAAGCAGGGCAACTTCAAAGCTTCTCATAGATTACAACTGGGGAGAGTGGGATAACTTAGCTTGGGAGGGGGGAGAATTGAGTTACCGGCTGCCATGATGAAATACTTTCTTCCTTTCTCCTGAAATTTTCACTGTGCAGTCCAGTGCCGCACCGTATTTGCAAGTATAAGGAGCATAATGTCCCAGCTGGGTCCTCTTACTAATGCACATACAAACCATGGCCTCATTCATTCCTAAGGACGGTCCCTTCCCAGCCTTTAGCCATTTAGCGATATGAGGGTTTGTGACATGCATGCCCTCTAGGAAGAGGATTTACCCAGGATCCCAGGAGCAGGAAAGAAGGTATTTGGCAATACTGGCTACTCTTTGGGGTAGGATGTTGGGAGGTTTAATTACCGGACAACGTTACTAAAAAGGGAAGTTGTTCTTTGCGGTAAACCCATAAAGAGATCAGCTTGAGGTAAATCTAATCATTAAAAAGGAGAACTATGAGGCAAGTGATTTTCACTCAACCTCATAGTTCAAGCCGACGTGTGACAATGAAACTGTCACACGTCGGCTCAATAGATCGGGAAGTGAGCGAACACATACCGGTGCTCGCTCACTCACTTTCTGATCTTTTCTGAGCCGTGACTGTCACTCTCAGCTCCCTGCAGGGATTCCCCCCTCCCCTATTCGATCCTCAAAGGCTGCCTGGCGGAACGGACGGGGGAGGGGCGGGTACAGCTGGCTCTGCCTCTAGATAGGCAGAGCAGAGCCAGCTGTCAATCCCGCAGCTGGGTGGATCTCGACAGTAATGTCGGGATCCGTCCCGGCTGCGGCGGTCTCAGTAAACCGCGAGCTGTAGCACGCTATATACTGAGCTTTGGGTCATGGGAGGACGCTAGTTTGTGTCCTCCCGTGACCCTGAGGAGAACTATGGGGAAAAGCACTGACCCCATAGTTCTCCTTTAAGAGTTCCGTTTCCTGCTTTGCAGTGCTACACAACAGTTGTACTTTACAGCTTCTTTTCACAATGCAAGCAGCGTAGTCAGCCAATTCACTCCTTATGGGCATATTGTTTAGCCAGAAAAGTCCTCCATCTATTGTTTAATCTACAATTCTCCATATTTAAAGTGAACCAAGTATGCACACTTGTACATTTACAAAGCACTAAAAGTACACAAGTCCTCATTTACATCTATTTTTTAACCCTTCCCTACTCGATCCCAAAATGAAGAAAAAGTTTTGTTTTTGACTATATTGAAAAGACTAATTTCAGCCAAAACGTTATCTCACATTGGATAGCTTACTACCTATAAAGAAAGGAAGGAATGGAAAATATCTCGAAAGAGGACAAAGATTAAAACAAAAAACACATTTTATGAAGAGTGGGGAAGGATAGAACTTCTGACACTGGTTTCATTGCTGTTCATACATTTTCTGTCCTTGTGACAAGCATTCTCCACATTTCTTGTCCCTATGTCACAGGAAGTGGAAAAATAATTCCTTCAATGAGGTCAGAGAGAGAAATATAATCCTAACAGAAATATTAAACACCAAATGTATTCTAGATGCATGAAGAAAAAAAAACAAAACCCACAGCCAGTGGCGTCACAAGGGGGGTGTGGCACGCACCCGGGTGCCACCATTGCAGGGGTGACACCAAAATGAGTGAAAGTCCTTTTGGTGTCACCCCCTCTAAAAAGTCGGGCAAGTCATGGACCCGACAGTGTCAGGAGAGAGGGGACCCGGCGGCATACCTCATCCCGCTGGGTGAACGTCCCCTCCTCTCTCCGCCGGCGTCCCATCACCAAGATGGCAGCCGGAGGCGTCAATCAGATGGCCGCACGCGAGTAATGACAACGCGGTGGGGTGTCCCCTGGTCTGGAGACCGGGTGACACCCAGCCTTGGGACGCCCCTACCCACAGCCTGAGTAGAAAAGTTTGTCCCATGTAAACATGCTGTAAAGATAAAGAACTATCCTTCCTAACTTTAATGAAGCAGTGGTCCGTCTACAGAGGTTTGAGTCCGTGCTACAGCTCTCCAATCAGCAGACAGTATAAGATTTGCAGAATGCAGCGCTTTAGGTCTGGGACACCAGGGGAAGGAGGGAGGGGATGATTCAAACCTCTGCAGACAGACGACAGCTTCAACATAGGAAGGGACCTTCTCTAGAGCATGCTGCCAGGGACAGGCAGTTTATCTCAGGTTGTGGCTGTTTAAATAAAACAAAGAAAAACTCATACAAAGCCACATTTTAAAGGTTTTAGAAAAATTAACCCTTGCAGTGGCGCTACCCCTACACTGCAAGGGTTAGTTGCTTATTTTTCGGTAAGGGCTCAAATACAGAAGAAATATTTCTTAACTGATCCTCAATTCCGCCTGGCCCCGCAGCCTCTTCTTCCATGGCCTCCGGTGGTCTAAGCCCCACTGACGTCATCATGTCTAGTAGAGTCCATTCACCTGTATTAGATGGGAGGACATTGAGGGTCATACCACAGCTGGAGTGGAGAGGGAGTGAGGTGAAGCGGTTACTCCTGCAGAACCAAGGATGGGGTGAGCATTTCCTATTTATATGAGCCCCTAGAGCAGGGGTGGGCAACTTCTACCCTCCAGCTGTGCTTTAACTACAAATCCCAACATGCCTCTGCCTTTGGGAATTCATGCCTGTTACTGCCAGTCTGGCAATGCATCATGGGACTTGCAGTTCCACAGCAACTGGAGGGCCAGTGTTGCCCACCCCCGTCCTAGAGAAAATTAAGCAGTTAACCCTTGAAGTGTGGAGGTAGCCGCACAGCAAGGGTTCATTTTTTTTAAAACCTGCAGTTCTTCTTTCATACTTTGCATACCTTTTTCTTCATCAGGGAAAAAACACACAAAAATGGAGAGGTGTGAATCCAGCCTCATGGTCACAAGGCTTAAAAAATGGATTATAAAAAGCGACTAGTGAAATACTACGGTCTTCAGGATTAGAAATACTTGCGGAACAAGAAGAAAGAAAACAAACTCCTAGCACCAGCAAAAAGGAATGTTCAAAATCCCATTCTAGCAGAGAAGCAATTATGCAAATAAACGCGAACATGTGCATTTCACACACTCACTGTGTACATGTCAACTAATAAAAATGATCTGTAGATTTTAAAACAAGGATTCACAGCCAGCAACATTGTAGGACATAATAAACAAGATTACTGCGTGTTAAAGTTACATTGTTAAATTAGTTCGCTCTGACAATGCAGATCATGCACTCTGCAAACAAATCCGACAAACATCAAATTAACAACAACAATAACATCATGAACAGCGGTGCCTAACATGGGTTAAGTGTCCTTCTTACATGTGTACTCACCCCGTAGAGCTGGGATCACAGGCCGGGAGAAAAATGCTTGCCCCATTGACACTGACTGAGCACCCTCGCAACACTCAAGGGTCCCCCTTTAAGGTAGCACAAAGGATGATTAAATGCCCCCCCCCCAGGGCAGGGGCATATATAGAGACAAGTGGGGCTTTACACGGCGCAAAGCAACCGAGACATACATACACTGTGAATTTAACACCACTACCGCCCTCTTAACTCTTTCCACACCCTTCCTCTCCAACAAACAGGATTAACAGGATCCCGGACATAATTATCACTTTTTCCTCCAGCAGAAACAACACCAGCGAAATAGAGAATTGAGGTTCTACAATCTGAGAGAAGATTGCAGCTCTTATAAAACATCTGGGGAGTTGCTACGAAAAAATACGGAGTTTAACGCCTCCATGTGAAACCTGCGCAGCTCCTGTCTTCCTACAGCCACTCCCCACAATACTTCACATTTCTTTAATACCATTTCCTCTAACAAAATACTCCTCCAGTCTCGGTTCTTCTGCCTTTATCACCTCTGAAAACAGCTGAGCACTGGAACATCATCTTCCTCTAACCTTTTCCCACATTCCTTGAATTGTAGAACCTGACTGCTTGTCTTCCTATTACTAAAACCTACATTACCACCTGCTATAAAAATCTGTCTCGCTGTACAACTACTTCCAATATCTTCTACTACTTTTGTTAACTCTTGTCTGTTTAGGAGGTTGGGTTTACACTCTTGTGCCACAACACACGAAAACGGTGGCGAATGCAGTGGCATTCATTCTTAAAGTGGAACCGAATTCAAAAAGTGTTGATTTGCTGTCATAGGGATCATCAGAAGTGTAATTGTGTCTAAGCAGCACTAGGAAAAAATTACATTTTGTCTTGGATTACCCCTGGGAAATAGCAGTGCCATTCCTGGTAAGCGAGGGTTCCTAGGCAGCCTTATAGCTTTATATCAGCTGTGTGAAAATAAAGCTGTTTGACCGAGTCCTGTTGACCTGACTGTGTGGCCCCTTGATTTTTTAATCAACAGAGCTGGTCTGAAAACAGCTGAACAGTGAATGCAACCCAATCTGTGTGTGTGTGGGGAAGGGGGGTTCCTCCATCCACACTGGCTAGCATGGATGGGGAAAATCCAACTTTCTTTCCCAATTCAGCCCGTGGGGAGAAAAAAACAAAACAATATGATGAGCGTATCACCAGTTTAAGGCTTGGCTGCCTCTGACTGCTGGTGTCAAGAGATCTGGGGTGAGATTTCATGAGGTAACGTACCAGTCCCTCGGCCAGCTGGGCAGACACCGCTCTCCAAGCTCTATGTGATCTGCCGTCTCCTATGTGCACATCGCCCACATGATCGGCCCTCAGCCTGCTACTGCACAAGATTTCTGAATGAGAGCCCTGGGCAGTCTGCGCATGCGCAGTAGCAGGCTGAGGGCTGATCACGTGGGAGCTGTACACACAGGAGACGCGGGCAGATCCCGGAGAGCTGTGTCTACCCAGCTGGCTAAGGGACTGGTACATTAATGAATGCTGATAAGCAGGGCTTGAAAAATCCACTCGTCCGTGACAAGAGGACGGCAGAGCCCGACGAGCAGCTTCCCGGCCGGCCCTTGTAATTACACGGCTGGCCGGGAGCTTTACATTCAAGCGATCGGTGTCTTTAGACGCCTATGGGCGTTTTTTGCGATTTTGCGGGCGCACGCAAATTTAAGGCTTGACATGTTTGGTGTCTATTTACCCGACATGACCCAGACTTTTATGTTTCACTAAAAATATGGGTAAGAATAAATGTTTTATAACATAACGTAGGGAAACTGTTTTTTTTACATTTATGGTACTTTTTTCATTATATAGTTAAAAAAAATAACCCCCCGTGGTGATTATATACCTCCAAAAGAAAGCTCTATCTGTCCCCAAAAAATGGTAACATAAATTGCAAGGCTTCAGTCCGGTCATGCTGTCTAGTGACATTTTTGACTGACTGGTGAGACACCATCAAATTTTTCAAGCCCTGCTGATAAGGATCTATGTGAGGGGAATGAGGTGCCTGCAGGGTGGGGGTCGTGTCACTATATTGTCAGATCTGTTTGGCCGGCCTCGATGCGGATTGGCTGGGAAACCGGCTCCCCGGCCAAATCAGCATCCAGCCGGCCAAACAGAATGGAGTCGGCTTCCCGGGCAATCAAGAAGCCTTCCTGGCTTCCCGATTGCCCGGGAAGCTGGCTCTATGCTACCGGAAGTACCGGTATCGACGAGTACCAAAATATTAGTACTCGTACTCTATACCGAAAAACCAGTATTGGTGCATCCCTAGTTTTGTTTTTTTTAAATACGTCAAAGGTGGAAATGGGCTTTGCGAAGGGCATACACTAAACGAATTTTGAACGAAAGAAAAAACCATTTCAGAACGTTCGCTCGACTTTCTAACAGTTGATGGGGTCAAGTGATCAGTTTCAACTGTAGTGACAAAATAATTCTAAATGAGCATGTTGGAGAATTTTTCTCGATCTAGCGAAACTCTAATTGTGAATGTGGTTTTCGTTCAGGAAACTCCATTGCTTCCAAAATGTTAAAACAAAAGTCAAAACGACAAAGTCTCTGATGGCATTATGGGACGTTCCGAAGAGAGTTTGCACAAGCGTTCGTTGGAAAATCTCCCAGCCTGCACCTTACTTTGCTACAAATGTCTCACTGCCACAATGCTGCCACAGATGGTGGTTGCCTTCATATTAATGCAACCAACAAATGTTTGGGGTTTTCTTTGTTTTTGTTTCATTATCAAATGTATCAAACAAATATCTAGCACATTCAAAAAAGAGTTCAATGTCAAGTAAATAAAATGGGAAAAATCCCTGTTAGAACCATTTCAATTCTGAGTTGTGGAAAAGTTCAAGGGAGGTGAACATAAATACAAAGCACTACACACCAATACCTCTCTATATCACCGATTCTTTTCCCACATACAGCAGCAGTGGGATGTTTCAGAACAAAATGGATGAGTAGCAGCACCTAATCACAATTTTTTCCCCCCCCCCAGAGCACTGCCCAAACGTTTTACAGAACCGGAGCTGGCATAATGACTAATCATGTGATTCACACAACATACTCCTCCCTATCTCTGACACCATCCTATGTCTTTATAATATGAGCTGTTCTTTCCAAGTGCTGCACCTTCTTCTTACTACAAGGAAGTACAGTCTCAAACACTACAATATGACCAGAAAACTATTTGATTTTTTTCACAGTGGAAATAAAGCATCAAGAAACCTCTATTTTGCTAAAACATGAAACAAATATGCATTTAGTAATTGCCATATAGATCAGCACAACCTCGTTTTTGTTACCAGCAAGTTAGGCCCCATTCACAGCCTGCGAATGGGGCCAATCACATGAGTCACATGAATTCCTTTATGGGGATCTGTGCTGGGTGGGAGGCGCTGTACAATACAATGACAATTGGCCCTGCCCGAAGCTGCTCAAATGTAAAATCGCACAGGTTGCCGTTACCTGCAGATCATCGTGTCTGGACGCAGTCTACGTCCAGGTATGGCTGTCCACAGTGGTGATTACATGAGAACAGGCAGCAGAAAACAGCTGTGGGCAGTGGACACTTTCATTGTATTGTATAGTGCCTATTGCACACAGTACAGCGTGTGAGTCCCAAGGAGGAATGCAATGGGGCCTTCCTGTTCACATGAGTTTCAGGTCCTGATCAGGTGCGGATCTGCAGATGCGGTGCTATGTGTTTTGCCGCTATTTTTATAAAAAAAAATATATTTATTTTTTTTGCTGGAGTGGGGCTGTCAGTATGTTAGCTGCAGTGCAGTGCGTTTGACGTGTTTTCGGACCGTACAAAATGTGACATGCAGTATTTTTCTGTCGTTACCTGAACGGACTGCGCAGGTTAGCCCATAAAACACATAGGGATACATTGGGACGCATTTTTAGTGCAGCAGCGTACGGATCAGGTCAGCACAGGAAACGGACGTCGTGTGAACAGGCCCTAAATGAGATGTTGAACAAGAAACCAAAATCTACCAGAACAAGAATCTTCTCCATACGTTTAAATCCTTCCAACATGCATCTGGTAATGTAGCGATCACAGCTTTAACACAAAGGAACCGATAATGCTAGTTGCTTGGCCATCAGGCTGGCCCTCTTGCTTTAATTCTTTCAATCACTGACCTAGAACAAGAATGTAGAAGACAACTTTGTGGGTGTACTTTAAACAAATAGAAAAGCCCAAGTACACATGTATTTGTTGTATTACACTGCTCTCTTGTGGACTGTGAGAAACATGCAATACCCGGATAAAAGAAAAAGGAATTATTGTTCATGTACACAATTAATTCAAGTAACCAAGGTAATGAAGTAAAATAGGATTTTGTCTGAAACCTACATATGAATCTAAAGAACACAGATACATAAAAACACATATATTTCAGATTCAAGTGGATGATGGCGAGTTTATTCAACGTGCAAGTTTTTTTAAACCCTTGGGAGTTTGCGCTGCAGTATCAACCCTCAACCACACAATGTAGTAGCTGGAAGAGTACACTTCCCTTCACTTTTTCCCCTACAGTGTAACAACTTCATTGTGGTTCTGAAGAGAAGTTTTCAGGGAGATATCTTGCTGTCTAGAGAGCAACTTCAGAAATAGACATACAGTACTATTGGATTTTACACAAAATTGCTTATACTGCTCTCATTAAGGGCCCATTCACACCACATCCAGATTACCTCCAGACCGTTTCCGGACCCAAAATGCATCCCAATGTATCCCTGTGCTATTTCTGGCCTCTGTTCCCACCAGTGCAGTCCGTTCCAGACCAGAAAAATACTGCTCGTCTTATTTTTTTCTGGTCTGGAATGCACTGGAACGCCTCTGTAAGACCCTTTTAAGCTAAAAAAATATTTTTTTTCCAATCGCTGCAAAATTGCGGTAAAATCGTGACAAAAAAACAATGCACTATGTTCCAGATCTGGTCCGGAAAATGGTGGGAACCCAGCCTAAAGCGTACAAAGCAAAATAAAAGAAAAAACCCTGCAGTACTTCTCTGCAACACATGCATATTGTTCTTGTTTTATCCCTTAAAAGACGACACAAGTACAATAAAATACATATTGACCTGCCAAAAATGCACTTGGCTCCCAATTTCTTGCTGTGGGCTGACAACACACAGCATTTCTGAATGGTGTCAGCACTGCTCGGTGTCTTTTGCGAAACCACCCCTACTCTCCGATCTCTACAACATATAGGCTAGTCATTCTGTAGTCCAAGAGAATTAGCAAAGTTCTTTGAGATAACTCAGGAAGTGG